TTTTATTATTAGATAGTTCATTAGTACAAGTACAACGTAAAAGTCGAAAAACATTTGCGTCTCACATTAAACATTAATTGAATTGAGTTATACAAGTCAGTTTTTAGTGAAATTTTCACAAAGTGTTTATTATCACAAGATCCACAACCGTGAGTACCTATTTTTATTGGTCATCTTTTGTGAATCCTGATATATGCAATAATTGATTATATTGCCGTTCATATCAGCACACAGGCAAAAAAACTGGTTTAATTTATCATTTGTCGAATATCGATTATCTACCTACAAAGTATAATTGATATTTAATTGATTTGGTTTAAATCGTAAATTGGACGAAAATAATTAATTATGCCTGTGTGTATAAACTGTAAGCAATCTACCATAAACACTCAAATTATAAAATGTTCGGGATGTATGAATTCTTTGCATACTTCATGCATTGGCTTACATGGCGATGATGTCAGTCGGATTACACGAATGCGTAGTAAAAATATCAAAGTACTATGTAATACTTGTAGCAACGGAGAGGACAAGTTTGTTCAATTAAAGCAATTTTTAACGAATCTTGTGGAAACTAAAATGCAGGATCTAGAAAGGAAAATAGCTAATATTAATCCTACAATACAATCCGAACATCAGGAAGAGATAATTGAAGAAGCCATGGACCGTATTAATCGATCGCACAATATCATTTTGTATAACGTACCAGAAACTAATTCTGCTATGGAAGATAATAATAAAGTAAATGATATTCTAACTACGATACAAAGTGGTAATTCAAATCCGATTTCTGCAAGACATGTACACAGAATTGGTAAACGATCAAATAAGGCCCGTCTAATGAAAGTGACCTTTTCAACACCCGCGCAGGCTAAGTCTATTTTGCGTATTAAGAATAAATTAGCCACATCTACTTTCTCTGCTATTTCAATTTCTGATGATAAAACACCTCGACAGAGACAATACTTAAATGACCTCCGGACCGAACTGAAACGTCGAACAGACAATGGAGAACAAAATCTGATCATTAAGTACGTAAAGGGTAGACCTACCATAGTCAGTAAAACTGAGAGCTCTTTAAACTAAATGTGTCCAGCAGTTCCAGATCAAGTAAATCACAATACGTTGAAATTACATGTTATTACCAAAATGTACGCGGCCTTAATAGCAAAATTTCATTATTTAATGCAAACGTTAGTGATTGTGAATTCGACATCATAGCATTAAGTGAAACGTGGTTACGCAGTGATGTTTCGAGTATGGAACTCTTTCCGAATAATTATGTCGTATACAGAAAAGACCGAAAATTCCATGAGGTGGATAAAGTGAAGGGTGGTGGTGTAGTGCTCGCGTTAAAAGATTTCATAACATCTGAAATATTGGACATCACGGCTCTCGACGCACAATTTCCACTAATTGATCTTATTATTGCCAAGTGCCGGATTGGCTACAAATATTTTTATATAGTTGTTGTTTATTTACCTGATAGATTAAGTTTGGTAGACTTTGAATATTTTTTCGATTGCTTAGCACAATTTGATTACTTAAATAATGACTGTATAGTACTAGGCGATTTTAATGTTTCAAGGTTTATAGATAATGATATGTCTGATTTCAAAACTTCTGTAGTTTTAAGTTTTGCGGGCTCTACTGGCCTTAGACAATTTAACAATGTTGTTAATCATTTGGGTAGACTGCTAGATTTGGTCTTATCGCATTTCAGTTGTGATGTGAAGCATGATGACTCACCTTTGGTCTATGAAGACTCTCATCATCCTGCTCTTCTAATAACATTTACGGATATATTTGTAAAAGAGCCTAAATTTAAGTGTGGTTTGAAGCAATTAACTTACAACTTTAAAAAAGCAAATTTTCCTGCTTTATATCGAGAACTGTATGAAACGGATTGGAATTCTCTGGATACTTCTAATGACGTTAATGAGATTTTAAATAACTTTTATGATACGATTTTTTCTGTGTTTAATAAGTATATTCCAGTTTATAAAAACTTTAGCCATAAATACCCCCCTTGGTTCGATGCTGATATCATTCACAACATCAAATTAAAAGCAAAGTTTAGAAAAAAGTTTAAACGATTCAAAAACCATTGTGATTTGCTTGAGTTTCAACGGTTAAGACACCTTGTCAAATCAAAAATCAGTTTGGCATACAATGTATATGTCGAGAATATCCAAATTGCTTTATCCTTCAACCCCAAGAAATTTTGGTCTTATGTAAATTCAAAAAATAATAGTTCAAGAATTCCTGGTGTGATGAAATATAATGACATTAGTACCTCCGACCCACAAAATATTGTGAATGTGTTTGCAGAATTTTTCAAGAGTGTTTTTCTGTCATCAGATATTAATTTCAAGGCTAACTCTTCCTCAGTTAACGCAGATTACTTAAATTTTTATCCTATTTTAGAGTCTGAGATAATTTTTGCGAGTAAGAAATTGAAAGACAAAATGACGTGTGGACCTGATAATATTCCATCCTTTTTGGTTAAGGATTGTATAGGTGCCTTAACTGTGCCACTTTTAAAAATTTTTAATTTATGTCTTCTTAACAAGGAATATCCGAGTCTCTGGAAGGAGTCAAAAGTGTGCCCAATATTCAAAACTGGTGAAAAGGGTCAGGTAGAAAACTACAGACCAATTTCCATTATTTGTAATCTATCGAAAGTCTTTGAAATAGTTTTGTATAATCGTATTTATTCACACACTCATAATCAGCTATCTCAATATCAACATGGTTTTGTCTCCAATCGGTCCACTGTGACAAACTTATTAATGGTCACACAATATATCTCAGCAGCCCTAGATAATAGAAGTCAAGTTGACGTCATATATACTGACTTTACGAAGGCATTCGACAGAATTCACCACGGCGTATTACTTTCTAAATTGTGTCTCTTTGGTCTTTCTGAGGATGCCTTGACTTTTATGAGGTCCTACTTGTCAAATAGAACGCAGTTTGTTGCTTATAATGGTTACAAATCGGAAAAGTACCTAGCTTCTTCAGGGGTTCCACAAGGTTCTAATCTAGGTCCATTATTGTTCTTGTTATTTATTAATGATCTGTGTGAATCAATTTCTGCACCATGTTTATGTTATGCCGATGATTTAAAGATTTATTCATTGATAAGCGACCTTAATGATTGTCATTTTCTACAGAGTGAACTGAATCGTGTACATGAATGGTGTAATGCAAATCATTTGAATCTTAATGCCAATAAGTGCAAAGTAGTTAGTTATTCTAGGAAACAGTCTAATATATACCATCCTTATATTATCGATGGCAATGAACTTGAACGATTGAATAAAATTAAAGACCTTGGAGTTACATTTGATTATAAACTCACCTTTGTTGAACATGTTAATTTAAAGGTTAAAGAAGCACTTAAATCTTATGGATTCATAATTAGAAATAGTCGAAATCTCACTAATACTAAGGCAATTAAATTACTTTATTACACTTTTGTACGCTGTAAACTGGAATATGCTTCTGTCATTTGGTCACCTTTTTATGATGTACACATCCAAATTATAGAGCATGTGCAGCGTAAATTTTTAAAATTTTTGTCTTTCAAAATTAACGGCATATATCCCAGGAGGGGCATCAGCAATAGCGAGTTGTGTAGCGGTTTGGACGTAGTATCATTAGAATCTAGACGAATTAATGCCTCCCTAATATTCCTGTACAAGCTACTACATAATCTCATTGACTGCCCTGATATTCTTCGACAAATAAATTTTAACGTTCCATCTTATCCAGTGAGAAATTCGATTACGTTCAGAAATACACAAGCTAGAACTAATCTTATGTTAAATTCTCCTCTATTTCTCATGTGCAACTATTATAACTCCTTAAGTGCTTACTGCGATATATTTCACTGCAGTTTAAAGCAGCTTACTAGGATGGCTGAGATCTACCTAGGTGATTAAGTAGTTTCTTTATGTTAAATACTCGAAAAATGTGTTATTTAGTTAGTACCTATGAATTATTAATATTTCATTTAACTTTAGTATTGTATTTTGTCCTATAAATGGATTCTGTTGGACAATAAACGCTATTATTATTATTATTATTATTATTATTATTATTATTATTATTATATTTTGAAGTAATGCGTATTTATGTCCTCTCATCAGGTGACCAAAATATTCGAGTTTTCTTCGCTTTAGCGTTAACAAAATCTCTGGGTCTTTTCCTATTCTTCGTATTACAGTTTGTTATTCTTTCAACCCAACTAATCTTCAGCATTCGACGGTAGCACCACATCTCGAAACTTTCAATATTTTTCATGTTGTTCTGTTTGAGAGTCCAGGCCTCTACACCGTATAATAGCGTGTTAAATACATAGCCTCTCAGCATTCTTAATCGTAGAGGGATGCTTATATTTCTGTTGCAGAAGAATTTTCTCATCTTTATGAAGGTGGCCCTGGCAATTTCGATACGTCTTTTTATTTCACTGTTTTGGTCTCCAGTTTCGTTTATTAAAGTTCCCAAGTATTTGTAACTTGATACTTTTTCAACTTGAGTGCCGTTTATACTAATATACGCTGGTTGTGTCATGTTTTTACTGAAGACCATATACTTGGTTTTTTTAATATTGATATTTATACCATAATTGTTGCAAGCAATATTTATGTCTGTAAGTAATCTTTGTAATTCTTCTACTGTTCTTGCAACTAGTACAGTGTCGTCCGCGTATCGAATATTATTTACAATCTCTCCATTAATTACGATTCCTCCGTTTGCTTGTAAAAGGGCTTCCTGACAGATGCTTTCACTATATACATTAAATAACAGAGGTGACAAAATGCAACCCTGTCGTACTCCTCTACGTATTTCTATTGCTTGTGATGTTTCAGTTTCTATTTTGATGTTAGCTTTCTGATTCCAATATAGATTGAGAATTATGCGCAGAATTTTGTATGTCATTATCTGTCAAATGTAAATTTGGAGATATCGTATTATGAGATTAAAACCCTTCTTAATATAAATATTTATTAGTGATGTAGTTAAAATTAACAAAAATAACTACAAAAATAAAATAAGGTCCCGAAGCACCAATGCATCCATTACAACTAAAAAATTTTTAACTATTTTTAAAATTTTATTACTCAATACAATGATTGAATAGTGAAAACATATTTTAATGAAAACAAATAATTGGCATGAATATGAATAAAAACAGATCAACTAATTCAAAGTTTTGATTTTGTGGATGCATTGGCGGCTAATTGTCAGGATGGATCAACCTTTTCAAATCTCAGCATCATCGAGTTGGAATTCCCTGGCTCCAGCTTATATCCAAGAGACTTGTAAAACGCTATAAGTGGGTCTTTGCAGTCTAAGGACATTTTATAACATCCTAGTCTTTTTGCAAGTAACGTAACTGTTAAGACAATCCTAAAAATGAATAAAAAAAATGATAATTAATATAGAGTCATAAGAGCTGATTTCTTGTTAGTAGATGTGTATTGATTACTTAGCATGTTGGAAAATAAAATTAGGTAGGTCTGATACAAACAGAAAAACTTACAACTACAGAACAATAACTCTTCCGAAAAATGTGCCTTAAAATTATTACTCGTGAGATTATACATGTCTGTAAAGAGAACTCTTCAATTAGTTTAAAAGATATAAACGAATATAGAAAACACAGGAATTAGATGAACTGCATTATTTATGTTATGTTAATGTTAAATATCAAAGAACTATGGCACCAACAGCAGAAACTTTCGAAAATTCCTTCGAATACGAAACCGGAACTCAATCAAGATGATAATCAATCTACTGAGATTAAAAACATTAATAAAGGTCCACGGAAAAAACTCTACAAATATCAGGAAAACAACGCAAAATAGATATTTTAAATCCCCGTCATGCTGTTCCAAATTGATTTGTGACAAGAAAGACTGCCAGGGATCAAGTCACAGCAACATGCAAGTTAAAGGCGCATTGTGCCATGTCCAAATTTGCACGAAAATTGCGTATGTAGAAATAACTATCCCAAATGGTCTACTGGAGGAACCAACCCACAACTCATTTCATATCAGGCTCTATACCTACTTTGGGAGTTCTAAATATGCAGCTCATACACTCACAAAAACAAGGGACTATAAGAACGACGTAAAATCTAACAAAACTGCCTTCAAAATTATGTCCAGCACGCTATGGAAGAGTTACCAGTCCACCACAATATCGACAAACCAACCAATAATGAAATAGGGTCCATAACATATGCCCTAATAAACTCATGGACTAGTATTTCGGTTTGCCATGTGCTGGAGAAGAGTCTATTAGGGCTGAAGAACTCACTGAGTCCAAAGGCATGCTAGTGTACCCTCCGAGACAATAAGTGGGGATCTGAAGGTGACATTGGCTCGTCTTGGTAAACAAAATAAAAAACTCAGAGTGGAGTGAGATAATTCTGAGCACTAAGCCGCCAACCGATGAAGAACTACATATGAGTACAATATATCGACAAGAAGCCCGAGACAGAATACAACAGGCTGCATTTTAAACTCTACAACATGCTAGTTTTATGGAGTTGAATAAAAAGAAAAATATGCAAGATAAGGACGCTAATGAACCAAATCCTGCGAGAGTCACTTCCACGCGTGAAATCCTGAAAGTAAATGTAAGCAGACGGAAAAAACGTTACCGAAACAATGATCGACCCGAGATTAGAGATGGGGCTAATTATGGACATATCAGATACTTAAATTGGAACATATTAATTTATAATACTATATAATACTCCACATGACAAAAAAAACACAATAAAATCAAAATGTGATCACTTTAGTAAGACTTTGGCCATGCTAAAAATTTCATGGACATGAAATGACAAGAAGCTACATTTTATCTATTTAATTGAAAGGTAAACTTACAGTTTTCCTAGTTGTTTTCCTCTGTAAGTGTTATTGACGACTACATCCTCTAAACGTGCTCTTAAGGCACAGTCATGAATAAATTTAAATTCTGTTATTAATGTTGACGAACCAATAATAGTATTACTCCTGGTATCTTCTATGACAGTTACATAATATCCTCCTGCCTTACGCATATTCCAGAACTGGCCTATAAAAAAATATTGTAAAATTAAATTATTATTAATTAAAATGTTTATCGAATTGGGCAATAAGACATTACAAAAGTCAAATTTAATATGAGTGAGTTATCTGATTACCATCGTTGATTAATATAATTAATCAACGTCATGTGTAAATCTAGTTGGCGCCCGTGGTAAAATACTAGACGTGGACCACAGGTAAGTCTAAATGAGCCGTTGAAAGCCAGAGTGGTACAAAGTCACAAAATTCCATTATTACCGAAATATCGGTATTTATTCCATTTTACAGGAATCTATTTTCACACAAAATATGAAATAATTATGTTTGCCATTGTACCTAGAGATGGCAAAACTAGTTTACTTATTTAACGAAATGCTAATAGAATTGAAAGGCAGAGTGGTACAAGTCAGTAGACGCGTGACATATACCACTGTGGCATTTAACAGATTTTAGTAGCGTGTTTGACATCAGTTTATTTTGAGAGCGACAAAATCTGAAACATGAGTTCTAGTGAATTTGAAATAGAACCTTTTCCTGGTAGTGAGAGTGAATATGAACCGGACAGATTAGATAATTCGAAATTATCATTATCTTCAGGTACCAATAGTTATTGTTTACATTTAACAAAACACATAACCTCTAAATTATTTTAGATGAGAAACAAAATATTTTATCTGATGAGTCATCAGGTTCGCAAAGTCAGCATGAAAGTGGTAATAAAAGGAAACGCGTTGGAAAAAAGGGTTTTAGAGAACCCGAAAAACATATTTAAGTAATTCGTAAGAGAAAGAGGAATACAGGACGTGAATATTACAGTAAATCTGGCAAAAAAGTCCAACAAAAAGAATTTTCCACTACAAATCGTAATTGCACAAAAAAATGTTTTAACCGAATTGATGACCAGGAGTGAAAAACAGTATTTGAAAACTTTTGGAAAATGGACAATTTTTCTGCACAAATTTGTTTGTTTGTTAAACAAAGTGCTATTAAACATCGACGTCCTCGTGATCAAAGTAGAAATAATATTAGAAGTACCACAAATATGTATTTTATAAATACTTTAAGTATATCACACAATGTTTGTAAACAGTACTTTTTACAAACGTTTCAAATTTCAAATGGTCGACTTGAAAGAGAAATTCAACGTTCACGTGTTTCATCGCCTGGAGAAGATTTGCGAGGTAGACATAAACCAAGAAATAAAACTCCTGAAGAACATGTTCAATATATACGTGAATATATTAGCAGTTTCCCCATGTACCAGTCCCATTACACCCGAAGTCGTAATCCGAATATAAAATACCTCGATGCCCGTCTGATCATAAGAATTATGTACAATCTTTATAAGGAAAAATGCTCAACAGAAAATAAAGTCCAGTATTGGGTACGGAAATATATTCCATCGTGATTTTACTTTTAAAGTCCATCTAAAGACACATGTGTGAAGTGTAATACATTTAAGGCCAAACTAGCGTTTGTCACCAATGAACAGGAAAACACTGATCTAAAAACACAGCATGCATTGCATCTGTTGAAGGCTGAAAAAGCAAGTATTCTATGTTATTCTATGCTATTATATTCTATGTTCTATTGCTTATTATGAAAGGAACATGTACGTATACAATTTAGAGATGCACGAGTTGGCCTAAAAAGAAAAGTCGTTTATGTACGTTTGGGATGAAATCACTGCTTTCGGGGGATCGCAAGAAATCGGATCATGCATACGAAAACATATTATGACAAATGCAAATGCGGCAAAGCATATTATTGCTTACAGTGATGCTTGCGGCGGTCAAAACCGTAAGTTCAAGAGTGTTTGTTCTGGTTAAAATTAATGGCAGATACAGATATTGAAGTAATTGATCATAAGTTTATGGTATCGGCCCATTCATTTTTAGCAAATGATCGAGATTTCGGTCAAATTGAACAGTATGCCAAAAATCGCTTAAATTATATGCCTGAAGACTGATATGCAACAATAAAATAATGTAGGACAAAAAGTCCTTTTTCGGTGTATGAAATGAAAAAGGCAGATATTCTCTCCATAGCAGTAGTAGAAAACTCCGTGCAGAAAAGATCAACCGTACAAAATATTTTATCATATAGAAGAACCACTACTTTGTGACGCTACCCGTGACGACGCCTACTTGTGGCGCTAGTTCCGTGACGCTCGCATCACCATTTTACTATAGAGAAAAAAATAATACAACGCCATTTAGCAGTTTAACTTCAAAAATAATGTTCCTGTAGGCAATGGTTAAAAAGTTATTCTAACTGTTTATAAGCAAAAAGTCGGCATATGTTTGCAAAATAATTTTGCAATATTTAAAAGTTGGTTTTCGTAATTTTTTTAATAAAATTGATAGAATAAATCTACTTCTTTCATAATCTACCCGTAGAATTAGTGTACCTTTATTATTTTCTGATCTATTGACCATATTTTAAACACAAGATCCAACATTCCATGTAATATGAAGGTACTAAATTTAAGGTACTAATATTTTCAAAAAGATATTAACATTTATAAAAACGAAATTTCTGACTTATTTTGAAATTTTCTAAGCAACAAATAAGAATAGAAACATTTAAAAAACAACATTTTGGAGTTGGAAGTTTCACTTTTTGCTAATACACGAAAAAGCGAAAATTGGCCGATTTTTGAGATTAATTTGTTAAGAACTAACTGGAATAAGTAACAAAACAACTGTCGTGTGCCTGGAGGTGTCTGTGTCACGAGAAAAATCTTAATTAACCGGACTACACACAACGCCAAAAAAGAGTGGAAGTTCAGATGCTGTAACGTCATAATATATACTAAATATATAGTCCGTCCAGAAAGTATTCGGACATAAAGCAGAATTGTAATTTTACGGTATTTATTTCTATCACTTGAAATATAAAATTTCAACAAATAATTCATCTCATTTACTTACACAACCTATATTTAAATCTAAACACTTAAATAAACATCCAGGTACACCCGAAACTAGGTCAAGGCCATAATTTTCGGTAATGCCTGTAAAACTGACTGAATCAAACCTTCTCGTGGCGCTGCTCGTTCCACTTCAATCTTCATCAGTCCCTATATGTTTTCAATGGGAATAAGATCTGGAGATGCTGCTGGCCACGGAATTGTTGCCAATTCGTGTTCTTGCATCCAAGCTTGAGTATAAGCAGAAATATGGCATCTTGCTGAAACCCCTCTGGATATAAAAAATAACTATACAGAGAGGTGTAGCACCACGCTGAGATATTGCTCCCCAAACCATTATTTTAGTGGGAAATTTGAACATTTTCTCTTGATAGGACTTTTAGATGATTTGCACCAAGCTGGTAACAACTTTCATCAGCTATAAAGACATTATTAAAATTATCTTCTCGAAAACATTGACAAAAATCTATTCTTCGTTGCCTTTACAGAGGTGTCATTGTAGTAATTTTTTTTGATTTCTTGATATGTAGCCTTGCTTTTTCAGTGACGTGCTTTCCAGTTTCTGGGCACACTTTTGTTCTTCGTTGATTTCCAAATCTGTTCGCTAATTTGCGAAACCCTAGGCGCGGATTTTGTCGTCCTAAAGCCACTAAAGAATTTAAATTGTTACGCGGTCTACCCGAAACTAGTCTATGTCTCATATGTATCCCATTTTTTATCCTCTTTATTGTCTCATACACTGCACTTTTTCCGAGTTGTCAAGTTTTTCAACGCTCCGGACACTCTTTCTATACAAATATTCCACCACTTTTCTTTTTCTACTTGCGACATTATTTCAAAACTCTTTCAAAAAGTCTGTTGTCTTCAAAAAGACAATATTTCACAAGCCTGTTTACAAACAACAATATTTGACAGATGGTGTTGTCATGCGATTTTGTCCATAACCTACTATCGGCACAACCTACTTGATGCATTACTTTTGTCTTAAAATGTTACAAAAAGGAAATCTATGAAAATTAGGAAAAATATAAAATTCCGGATACTTTCTAGACGGACTATATTTAAAGCGCCAAACCCAAGACATATACGCAGAAACCGAACATACTTGTCCCTATTCCAACGAAGACATATCATAGACTCAGGCCTAAGCCAATGAACTATGGCTGATTTCTTTGGCTGGCTAGATTTATCAGATAGGTACATCGTATTGCCGACAAACCAAAAACTACAAACCAATTGCCCTTTTGGGGATATATGTCACCTAAAAACAGCTAAAATAATATACATAAAAGAATAGGCCAGAATAGTTTCAAATCATCTGATTCGAAAAAGGAGGTTTTATACTGCAACGAAGCAGTGAGGACCAGATCAATACTATTCACTACCTATACATAAAAAAAGGAAATTAAAGTGTGGGTTTCCAAAGAAAATTAAAAATATCAGCTGCATTTATCGATCTCTTGGCAGCTACTACAAATGTTTTCAACTAACACACTTGATAGATAGCATGCTCATTAATTGAATGTTTCAAGTAGCTAGGATCACTGATATCAGCCCATTGCAAGATGCAGAATACTATAAATAAATGAGGACATCCTAACTCAAAACAGGCCCTATATAACATATAAAATTTAAATATACATACGTTCAAATTCGAGTTTTCCAATATTTCCAACTTCGGTTAGTTGAGACAAGATTTGTAGAAAACCTTTGTCATAATCAGACACTTTTAAAGGTCTTACTACAATCCATGGTTCTCCTGGATTATCACTACTTATTTCAGGATTCAAACTAGATTGTACAGAAGACCAATCCAAATTTTTTAATAAGTTAGGATCATATAGATCCTCTTCTCCAATGGAATGCTGAAAATAATAAGTATTTTAAAAAATCATAGAAAACTGTAGTTATAATAGGCTGTTAAATAATAAGTTTTGCAGTTCAATAAGAGAGGGTATTGCTACTAGCTTAATTTTTGTTATGTTGGTACACTCTTCATATAGGCGTATGTGAAGTTTCATTCCCAAATGCCAATTCATTCATTGTTTATAAGCCATTTAGTACCGACGTCATTAACGGATTGGGAACACGCTTTTTGCTTTAAATGTGTTAACGCAACGATGCAGACATGACTGCAGATGTATTTGCATGTTTTATTGGCTATCGAAAAGCATTTGACTACGTTAACCATCACAAGACGATCGAAATTCTGAGAACAACTGGAGTTGACGAACAAGACTTGCGAATTATCTCAGAACTATACTGGCACCAAACGGCAACAATTAAAATAGAGCACACAACATCCGAAGATATACAAATCCGACGACGAGTGAGACAGGGTTGCGTCTTATCACCGCTACTGTTTAATTTGTATTCGGAGTCTATATTCAGAGAAGCATTAGACGAGGTCCAAGGCGGAATTAACGGAATCAGCATAGACAACATCAGATATGCTGATGATACCGTCTTAATAGCAAGTAACGCAGAAGAACTACAAAACATAATAAATGCGGTAGTTTTTAATATTTTCAAAGACACCAATAAACGTACATGTGTAAGCCAATTGTCAAATAATAAAACAGGTAAATTCCATAAAATATTTGTGAGTAAATATCAATAGTCAGTGTAACCAAAAAACAAAGAAATCCTATCAAGAACCGAACAAGCAAGGAAAACACTCATGAGCATGAAAACATTTTTTATAAGATCAGACTCTAGTCTGCAGCTTAGAATCCAAATGATCAGATACTACGTTTTTTTCTGTCTTACTGTATGGCTGTGAAAGTTGGATAATGGACTCTGAAATAGAAAAAAGAATAGATGTCTTTGAGATGTATATATACAGACGAATGTTGAGAATTCCATGGGTACAAAGAGTTACTAATGTTGAGGTACTTCGTTGCATGTGTAAACAAAAAAGAATTACTAAGAATAATCAAAGAGAGGAAAATGAAATACTTGGGTCATACATGGGCGAAAGATATGAATTATTTCAAGTTATACTGGAAGGAAAAGTACAGGGCAAAAGATCAGTAGGAAGACGCCAGAACCGCGTGGCTGAAAGACCTGAGGAGATGGTTCGACCGCTCATCCGCAGAAATCTTTCGCGCAGCAGTTTCCACAACTACAATTGTCATTTGGATCGCCGACCTTCGAAAGGAGACGAAGCCATGAGAAGAAGAAGAAGTATCGACGTGTCATAGTATTTTTTACAATGGAAAAAATCAAGTATCGTGCAAATATTCAATTTTTATGTTGAATTTAAACATGGTCGTACAAGTCTTGAAGACGACCCACGTCAAGGACGCGGACGTCCAAAAACAGCAACAACACCAGAAATGGTAGAAAAAATACAGGATATCCTATTGCAAAATCGTCGAGTGACTGAAAGAGATTTAGTAGAAGCCCTAGACATCTCATTTGGTAGCTTTCACTGACCGAACTGAAGTATTGGGTTATTACCCTGACTGAAGTATTGGGTTTCAGAAAGCTGTGTTCACAATGAGTGCCGAACTCGTTTACAATGGAACAAAAATACATTCGAACGCGACTTTCTCAGCAAGATTTACAGCATTTTCGAAAGGATAAAGAGGATCTCTATGAATGAGTATTGGGTCTATCACCACGATCCTGAATCAAAAGAAGAGGCTAAAGAGTGGTATGAACCTGGTTCTTCGGATCCGAAATGAGTTTAGTCCAGAAATCAGTCAGAAGATGTTAGCACCAGTTTTTTGGGATGCGAAAGGAATTTTGTTTGTGAATTACTTGCAAACTGGTAAAACAATAAATTCTGAATATTACTGTATCCTTTTAGATCAACTGAAGGAAAAAAATTCTTGAAAAAGACCCGGTTTGCGGTAGAAAACATCCTTTTTCATCAGGACAATACACCGTGTCATATGACCATTTTGACAATGACTAAAATCCACGAATTAAAGTTCGAATTGTTATATCATCCACAGTACTCACCAGATTTGGTGTCTAACGACTTCAAACTGTTTCAATACCTAAAAAAAAATCATGTGTGGAAAGCGTTTTTCATCAAATGATGCGGTCATAGCAGCCGTGGAAGCTTATTGCGCAACCCTTCCATATTCTCGCTTCAAGGATGGCATTGATATTCAGGGAGACTATCCTGAATCATAATGTGTATTACAAAACATAAAATTGTATTTTTCTTATCGAACCGCAAAACCTTTTGACAGTCTATTAGAAAATCAAATGTATTTATAGAATTTATAGAAATTCACAATATAGAGAATCGACATAACGAAAATATCAAATTACTACAGCAAAATAAATGACAGCTTAATACCTCCTCTGTCAAACAAGAAATGTAATTATACAGTGTGTCCATCCTATCCCAATTATTTGGCAATATTCGTTAGGTTTTCTGAAAATACTGAACTATCTCGCTTTATATTCCAAATCAGATATATTTTAACCATAAAAAATCTATCAATTTTCAATCCCTTCCCTTCCACATCCACATCCTCTTAATTTTAATAGCATATGTGATAAGCAGTAGAATTATAGTTGGATGAATTAAGTGGAAGAATGAAATGTGTGGTGTGTTGTGTGACAGAAAAATTCCAAAGAAGCTGATGGGAAAATTCTATAAAACAATCATAAGACCAGCTATGATGTACGGAACTGAATGTTGGACAGTTAAAAAGAAAGAGGAACTTGAATGCATGTGGCGGAAATGATAATGCTTAGATGGATGAGTAGAGTGAAAAAAAACTATAAACAATAAACTATTTTATTGAAATTTAAAGAAAAGGCTTCTAGAGGACTGATACCGATACACAAAATTAAATTAAAGGTTAAATATATTCTCATATAAATATATCGTTACATTCCAGTACAGGTAGTTATGAGTTATATTAATAACGTTGAAATATAATCAAAAATATGTTTAGGTAGTATAACAATTTTAAAAAACCAGATTTTTATTTTTAGTTCCTGTATCAATAAAAAACAAAACGTGTTTTGATCACGGTTAGCATTACCTGTTAACAGTGGATTTTTTGCATATATTTAAAAAAATATTGTTACATACACTTTCGAGCAGAAAATTAGAGTTATCTCGTAATTTGGAATTTTTTTGGTTGTAAAAAAGTTTTTACTCAAATTTTATTGATTGTGATGAAAATGAACAATTTTACTTTTGATATGCTAAGTAACGAAAAGAAACAAAACAAATTGAAACATCTTCGTTGAAACAAAAGAAATTTTGAGGACTTTAATAGCGAGTCTTCCTTCCTCTGACAGTAATAGCAGCTTGCAAACGACGATGCGTGCTTTGCATCAGATTTTGGGTCACATTATGTGGAAGGTTCACCTTCAGGTATCAATTCCTGCACCAACATGTCGCAAAATATTGTAGAATTTCTAGGGACCGGCATAATGTTCATGTAAAATATATGCCTTCCCATGCTATAATTGATACTCCACCATTTGGAAGTCGCCCGAAAATACACGCGTGAGCATTTCTCTGGCCTAGTCGTTACCACAGTCTTACGCGTCTGAGCCCGTAAGACAGAATTGCGATTCATCGAAAAACAATACACTATACCAAGCCGTTATTGTCCAAACCAAATATTCTCGTCCTAAATCCAATCCGGAAATCTAATGTTCATTGAAAAACGACAGTTCAGTAGCTCTAGTTCGAGAAGATAATCTAGCAGCATGAAATCACTCCCTATCTATTCACTCACTTGTGTTTTCATTTCTCACGTTTCGTAGATAATTTAATTTCAAAGAGAAACTTTCGATTCCTTAAAGTACTAGAAACGATAGTGTGGTTATCTCTAGCTGTTGTGGTCCTGCCCCGTCCTGAACCAGGCATTTTAGTCAACAAACCAATTTTTTAGTACCGTGGCCATACTGGTCGTACACTCTAGAATCTTACACTAAAATTTCTCGCAGTTTCTGATCACGGCCACCTTCTCAAGCTGCCACAATTATTGCAGCTATTCACGATGAAACAAATCGTGGGAACACGACATTGACGTCCCTAACATATTCATAGATTTCAAACAGACCTACGACTCAATTAATAGACACAAGTTATATCAAATACTGCATAAATTTAACATCCCCAAAAATACATCCGACTAGTAAAAGTAACAATGAACTCATCAACTACAACTATCAGAATACAAAATGAGCTCACCGAGATTTAAATAGTCAAAGGATTACAGCAAGGAGACCGGCTGACACCGACACTATTCAACCTGACTTTCTAATATGTGATGAGACAGTTGAGTATAGGAAGAGCAATACAAATTGCTGCCTATGCCGATGATATCAGCATTATGTCTCGTAGAACGGAAGAGGTGGCAGAAATATATTCACAATTAAAAACAGAAGCAAAAGAGACCTTATTAGAAATAAATATTCAAAAGACAAAAAGCTAACACAGCAAGAGCTAAGGGAACAGACTCACAATTGAATTAGGATTTAAGATAGATAATAGAAGCTTAACATATTTAAGAGTTCCAGTAAGCACGAATTAAACAGAAGCACCAGAAATTCAAAGAAGAATAGTAAAGTGAAACAAGTGCCCTAAGTAGTAAAAAAACAAAAGGAACGCCACAGAAAAGGTGGGAGAATCAAGTGGTAGGGGACTCGCAAAATTTGCTAGATATAAGAACCTGGAGAAGATCGGCAAGGTTAGAGACATAGTTTGGAAGAGGCCAGGCTCGATTTGGGTTGAGCGTCATAGGAGAGAGAGAGATGAGGTCTGAAAGTTAAAATGATCTTCTGGTTGGACATCTAGAATAGTTGTCAGACCCATACTTGCTTTGCTGCGTTAACTTGGTGGAAGAAAACAATGCAAACACAAACAATACAATTAAATTGTACGCTTAAAAAATATAAATTTATTATCATTTATTATCTTATAAAAGTTTAATTGTATTATTTTCAAATTACTGTGTTTCTCCGCAATATTTCATTATCTCAGTAGAAGAGTCAGGTACATGGCAACTATAACATGGCTTACGTTATCTACGATAAATATTTGTATCCAGAACGTACCTGACGACATATGGATCTAGAACGTACCTGAGGACGTATATATCTGTACCTGAGAACGGATGGATCTAAAAAGTACCTCAGGTACTTTTCTAGATATATACGTCCTCAGGTACGTTCTAGATCCATAGATCCATACATCGTTAGGTACGTTCTGGATACAAATATTTATGATGGAGGCTTCCATCTTACGTCCTATAGTATACCGTAAGTCTCGGAAGATAATCTGAAAGACAAAAAGATACTCCAAAACCTTCGAACAAAAATGTTCGATTCTTGTATCCTTTCCGTTCTCACTTACGGAGCTCAAACCTGGACATTCACAAAAAAGAACATGGAAAAGATTCGAAAAATTCAGCGAGCCATGGAACGACAGATGCTCGAAGATGGTAGATGGAACAAAGAAGTCGGAAACTGGCGACCGTACGATGCGAAGAGACCAAGAGGAAGACCTAAAATGCGCTGGAGCGACGATATCAAAATAGTTGCAGGACCAATGTGGAAACGCCTAGCACACAACAGGGATGAATGGCGAGAAATGGGAGAGGCTTTTATTTGACAATTCAGATAGAAAAAGGGCTAAAAAAAAAACGAGACGACAGATAATTGTTAAAATGAAGTGGATGAATGAAAACGTTTATAAAGCCAATTTTAAAAATAAAAGCAAACTATTTTAAGACGGCAAAAGCTAATATATATAATATATGTATATATATATATATATATATATAATATATATATATATATATATATATATATATATATATATATTATATATATATATATATATAATTAAAGGATATAAAAACTTAAATTAGTAAGATAACTTACCTGTATAGAATTACATCTACAAGCATTTCCCATTATAAAAATAGCGGAAACAGCTTTTTACTAATCAATGGTAAGAAGATTAATGGTAATCAAGGTAGAAAATAATCCAATATTCAAATGCAATTCTCGATATGAGCAAGATAGATAATTCATCGATGAATGGACATCTAAATTTAATTTAAATCTTATCTAAGAATTACTTATCTTTTAAATTTTTACACTGATAACTATCTGCTATTAATTCCGTTTTTAAAGGAGGTAGTCATCTCACCTCATTAAAACGCAGTAAGAATCACTAACTATGACACGCCAATGATATCGTTGTTTTTCCTAATTTAACTTAGGGGCCCAATATAGATAAAACTAATATTATAATTCTGATTCTAAGTGCAACCAAATTAGTTATAATTGTAGCAGCAATAAAATTATTTAGAGATGTGACTCAGTAAAAATTAGGATGAGGAAAAGAACAGGTGATTGATTCAGACTTAATCTCAAACCACCCCTAAAGTTGAAAATAACATCTGCAAACCAATGGAATCATTTAAAATGCAGTGTTATAGTTCTTCTCACGGCCTTTTTTCAGTGTCCCATTTCTTTCTAATGTATGTAACAGCGCATACATAAAATTGTATGCCGTGATTATTTCTGAAAGAAAACCAGCACATTTTATGTATGTATAGCGTTAACGGGCCTTTTAGGCCCATTGCTGGATGGATAATTTCCATTGTTTTCTGTTCTTATCTGTCAGCTTCCTATCTCCGATTGCCATCTCTCTGACATATTCCATTACTTCATCTCTCCATTCCTTTCTTGGCTCTCTCTTTTGCCCCAGGTACTCTTCAACCAATATTCTTAACTTGCCTATTACCTTGCATTCTTTCTAGATGTCCGAGCCATTCTAGTTTACGTTTTTTCATTACTTTTGTTATTGGAGATTATAGAGATCATACAATTGGTAGATTTCTACATTAGTTCGTCTTCTCCATTCTCCCTCTACTACTTTTCCACCAAACATTCGGCGAAATATCTTTCTTTCCCATACTTTCAATCTGTTCTGTATGGTTTTGTTCATAGTCCATGTCTCGGCAGCGTATAGCATTGTGGGTCTAATTATAATTTTGTACACTCTTATTTTTATACTTTTTTGTATAACCGTGTCTGGTCAATATGGGTACCTAATATATTTAACTTTTTATTTTCAAATGAAAATACTTATACTAAAAATAAAATAATTGTGGGAAACATTTTAATGTACGGTTTCCAACCATTTCTAAACTTTTTATCAAACACAATTAAATTACAATCGGCATTCATAATGATCATTAGGCTAATTTGCTTAATGAGTTTAGGATCTTTGTAAGCGGTTATATTATATTTTACCTGTCAAGCACAACAGTTAGAAAGTTTCTGTCATATTGACCTAAACTCATATACATATTGTAATTCAACCGTGTAGTTTCAAGTGACCATCATGCCTAGACGTATACAGAACAGTTTCAGTTTGTTTCGGTTAAGTGTGATCCCGCTTTTCGCGACAAAAATTATATATAATTGCTCTTTTACTTAACGATGAAGAAAAAAAACTGTAGTAAAAAGAAGGTTTGAAGTACATCCATTGCTAAGAGAAAGGAAAAAGGAAGATGAATACTGGACTTTATACAAAGAATTATAATTGACGACGATGAAAAATATTAGGGATATTTTAGAATGAATAGGATTCAGTTTGAATATATTTTAAATTTAATTACACGTTTAGTTAAAAAACAAAATACTACATTTAACGAAGCCATACATATCAAACCAAAGAGTATTTTTAAAAAAGAAGAGGTATCACTTCCGTGCAAAAGTCCCAACTGTTTATCACTTCCGTGATTAATTGTCACAAAGCAATGAAAATACAAGAAGCATAAATGACAAAATAGTCCCGAAAAATTATTTTTTAAATATTCTGTATCAAAATCAAACAAATACTTAAATAAACAACGAGGGGAAAACGACGGACATCTAATTCACATTATCCGTACCAACCGGTTACGACTCATTACGTAGCCGTCGGAATCAGTAAAATATTGTTTTCGAATATATATAATAACGGATTGATTACGGCTGTCGCCGCTTCTCCGCCCTAAATTTCCATCCTTTTCTGTCATATGCATATCTTCTAGTCTCTTGCCGCCATTCCTTCATCAATATCGTTGCGCCAACTTCTCCGTGGTCGTCCTCTCTTTCTTCTTTCAGGAGGGATCCATTTCAGTACTCTTCTAGGCCATCTGTACTCTGGCATTCTTTTAACATCATCATTGATATTTCGCTCCATTTTCATTTCGTTTCTTATTTGATCGTTTCTAACTTTCTCCAGTTTCGATCTACCGTAGCTTCGTCTCAGAGAATCCATTTCTGTCGTCATAAGTTTGTTTCTATTAGCTCTAGTGAACGACCCCTCCCCCATTCTTCCGAACCGTTAAGTGTAATACTTTGAACTATACTACCGTAAATGTGTTTTTTGGTTTCTCGTCGAATTGTTTTTTGCCAGAGAAGAGAGTTTAAGGCAGGCGTGGCTGCTCTGCCCTCGTTTCTTCTTTCCCTAATTTCATCTGCGCTATTTCCCTCCTTGTTGAAAATTATCCCCAAATATTTGCAGGATTGAACGCCTTTGATTTTGCCGTCTTCCAAGACTAGGTCATATTTCATTTGTTCCCACTGAGGGTACTCAAGGATACTTTTCGAATATACTGACTGGAAACGTTAGGTGTCTGATACGATACGTTCCGGACAGTGTGAGTGTTCTTATTTAAAACCATTCAAATTATACTTTTCGGAAACTAAACGCTACGGGCTGAAACCGCAACATATATGATAATATGTCACGACCTTAATCGTTTAGAGTTGTAAGTTGGTTGAATTCACTGTATAATGTGTATGTATAAAATCTCCATACCGAATTTTTTAATTATACTACAGATTATTGTATTTAAAATTGTATTACTGATTCGAACTTTCTGATATACTAGTGTTATTTGCGGCAATTCACAATTAATTGTTATTTATGAGGTATTTTCTAAACTTCAATATGCATTTTAAAAATAAAACTTATAGCATACTATATTCTGTACGCAGATAACGGTCATGTCAAAACAGGACAAAGAAGAGTTTCAACATCCTGACCATGAAATATCTGACAATGAACTAATAAAAATCCGTAACAAAATGATTTCATACTACATTCGACAAATTAAGATCACCCACAATAATCGCTTACGTACTTATTTGTACAAAATTTTGTTGTTTTTTTTTAATTCCTTCCAAATAGAAATTAAATTAAAAGATTAATTTAAAAATTGGACAAAATTATACAAATATTTATACACCAAAATTTATACAAACCACTTACGGCATTTTTGTTACTAATCATAATTTTATAAGTCAATGTGTACGGTTGCTAAACAAGTATAAGAATTTAACACACCCATTTCAATAAAAAAGGGAGGTACATTCAAGGACGGAGTTACTGAATGAATTCAGACCAGAAGCAAGGTTGATAAAAAAGATATAATCGAAAAATAAAAAAATATATATATGAAAGTTGTTTAAAAAATTCGTTAACGTCACCCAATTTTTTAACCTAAGAAGTTTGATTCTCTAGAATTTAATGTTCATAGAATGATCGTTCAAGATTTCCTTTAAGAACAGAAGTAAAAAAGAATTATTCTTAAATAAAAAGGAAATTTACATTAACATATTCTTCTACTTCAAAATGCCTTCAGAGTTAAAGGAGGTTTTCGACCAATATTTTTCAGTTTTTCTATCTTGGAAGATTTTAACGATATTTTTATATTATAATTTATTAATTCATCATCATTCTGGCTTTATAACCCTGCGTGGGTCCAAGCCCGCTCAAGAACTCTGTAGTCGTCGATATCCATCGCCTTCATCCGCCAAGCACGCATTCCCATATTTCCCGTATAATTTATTATTTAGCGTCATATTTTTTATATCAAAAACCTGAGCAAACTTGCTGGAGATTGGGTAACCAACCCCAATGGAAGGCAGGGTCAGGGCTGACGAGGAAGAGAGAAATGGTCCTCCGAAAAGGGGGTTGGTGAGCAAGGTTAGCTGCCTACCTACTGTCGAAAAAATCAATGCTCATAGAACCGAACAGAACCCTCAGAATGGCACGGATACACAGATGACGAACCACGCAAGAAAAAGAACAAAGAGACCAAATAACCTACGAATTGGCACTTGGAACATCGCATCGAGGAACAAACGAAACAGGAAGTTGTGTAGGAATTGGAGCTCCATAAAATTGATAATATGTGCCCTGAATGAAACAAAAAAGAAAGGGAAAGGAAGTACCAATAGAAACAAATTTATATTCCTGTACAGCGGAGTAGATAAAAGCAAACGGGCTCAGGCAGGAGTAGGCATCTTAATGCATAATAAATATAGTAACAATATTCAAGAAATAAGATACATCAAAGAACACATCATGAGGGTTTGCTTTTAACTTCACCAGACGATACTTAATATTATTCCCATGTATGCACCGAATAACAACAAAAACAAGGAAGACAAAGATGCTTTTTATGGACAGCTCCAAGATCCACTGGACACCACAATCACCGGTAGTAAAACAATAATTATCAGCGACCTAAACGCCAGAGTAGGCAACATACCTGTGGCTGGAGTTACACAAAGATTTAACGAAGAAACGGAAAAAGACTTCTAGAACTTTGTTTAATGAATAACCTCCGAATTAATAGCACATACTTTGACCACCCAATACAACATAAGATCACCTGGTCAGATACAAGAGGATGTAACTCTATGATTGACTACATTATAACAAACAGACAAATACACTCCAAGAATATAATAGATGTGCGCACACTCTATCTACCGCCAATGTAGGATCTGACCATGGCCTGGTACTAGGAAAAATAAATATAGCAGTCACAACACAAGGCAAGTGAAATACAAACACTTCAGCATCTCTTTTCTTCTCATTTTTCTCTACTTTTTGGATTAACTTCTTTTCAGCAATCGTCAAACATTTATACTTTCTAGGGCTCATGACTAACAAAATTTTAATCTGTATACCAATGAAAGAGTAACAGTAACTAATAGCTAAACAAACCAATTCGTGAGAAATGTGTAGTTA